TGTGCTTAAACTGTGGCGCAGAGGGAACGTCAGGAAGATGAAGCAGCAGAAAGGTTTGGCGTGTGTGTTTCACAGACACGAGGTTCCTGACTCAAGCGAGTACATATGTGCGTGCGAGTGTGTCTCAGACGTCTGTGGCGCACTGGGCCTACCGGCAGAAGAGGCCGCTAACGGTGCTGCTTCGTCTGCCTCACCAGCTGCTCGCTCCGCCGCCGCCCTCGCGCTGCACGAGGCGGTCTCCATGACGGCGTCACACGCCGAGTACACCCCACACACGCGCTGTCACACTGTCGAGGGCCTGACGGAGGCACAGGCCACGCCCTTCTGGCATCGCAGTGTGCTCCTCGTGGCGAAGTGGATATTCGCAACGGTGTGCGGCTCACTGCGCCGTGGAGCGTCGGTGGTAGGCGTCTACCTCACGCGTAGCGGGGAGGCGGAGTTCACGGTGGGCCTCATCACACAGGGCACCGCGCGCGACGAGCGCCTGCAGGATGCTCTGCTGCGGTTCCGTGGCACGCATACACTTGCCAAGATGCACGCCGAACTGCCACTCTGCGCGGCTCACCGAGCAGTCGCGCTTCGCCTCTGGTGGGAGCCGCGGACGGAGCGTGTGACGCCGCATCACATCATGCCGCCGGTGAAGGTTATTCTTGACGAGGGGAAAAAGCGACGGAAGCAGCAGCACAACGGACCGCAGCTCAACGGATATGCCGCGGTCAACGTGTTTCTTTGTCGCCCAGTCGCATCACGGCTTCGCGGGACAACGCGGAAGCCGCTGAGCTGCGCAGGCGGAAATGTTGCAATGAGGGTCACAACCACTGCTAAAGAAAAGCGGTGTGACAAACAGCCAAAGGTTTCTGCTGCTTCCGTTGTTGCCGCGACGACGATGGCTGCAGCTGCGGATCCATCGCGCATCATTGAGCATTCCAATGACCCACAGGAGCGGCTTCAAAATGCTGTTGTGCTCTACTTTGATGACCTCTCAGTTGTGGAGGAGGGCGAGCACCTCGTCGGTGTCGAGGTTGAGGCGATGCCTTCGTACCGAGCGTTCGTTCCCGCACTCTACGGACACCTGTCGCCATTTCTCGTGGTCTCTCGGGGAGATGCCTGAGGGTGAAATGTGCCCCCCACCGCCTTTGTTTGTTTTAATTTCTTTGTTCTTTTGTGTCGTCCGTGAGGCGGCAAACAGTTATTTCTCACAGAAAGCAGGAAGTCACCTTGGCGTTGTCATTATTGGTTTGTCCTTTTTTTTTTCACTAACTACGCTTGAACGGTGTCTTTCCTTCACATACATACACACACGCACACACATGCATGCATATGGGTGTGTGCAGTTTGCCATCACTACTTCGTTGTGGTGCCCTTCATTTTTTGTTCAGCTTCAACGTCAATAGAAGAGAGAAGACTCTGGGGGGGGGGAATGCAACAAGTCGTCTGATAGTCATCGGTACGAAGAAAGAGGGGGGCTTTTGTTGATGTTGTCTTCTTCTTTCCCTCCTTTGGCAGCTGCAGCTACTCCTGCCGCCGCTCTTGTCTCACATTTCTTCTT